TATATGACACAGTCTATAGTGTTATCTATGTCCCTCCCTTCCCATTGTGATTCATTGTCATGCATGACCCTTAACAACTTCATTTCCTTACAGAATTTCATTAAATTTTCTGCAAAAAAATGAAACTTATGAAAACACCTCAGATGACTTTGTATTTCAGGGTCCCCATGTCAAAGCCAAGGTCACTGTTGCTTTTTATTGGTCAGCTACAGTGCAGGGGGCTTTTATGTCTTACAGACATTTTATTGGAATTTTTTCATCAGCTATTGTCAGCTTCTGAGCAACTTTGGCTGGTGATATTTTTTCAAGAATGATTGTTCAGACCTTGTTATATGTTCTGACATTTTTATTGTGATAGGAGATAGAACATTTCCTGTCAGTATGTGAGATGACCGGTGGTCAGTCAGACAGCAGGATCGAGGGACTCCGACACCTGTCACAGAAGTTACACTCCCAACAACAAGAGATCCTAGAGCTGGCCAGGCAGGAACAAGGTACAACTCATCTTTACCATGTATATTGTAATAAACAGCCCATGAGACTTAATGTTTTACCATGTCAAGTCTCTTATATTACAGTATATATTATAATAACAGCCCTCGTGACATATCATTTTACAATGTCAATTTTTTATCATTACATGGTATATTGTAATAACAGCCCTCGTGACATATCATTTTACAATGTCAATTTTTTATCATTACATGGTATATTGTAATAACAGCCCTCGTGACATATCATTTTACAATGTCAATTTTTTATCATTACAGGGTATATTGTAATAACAGCCCTCGAGGCCTATAAGCTAACCTGGTCCAAAGGACCGGTGAGCTTATGCCATGGAATACAAGACATATTTTTAGGATTGCTCATGTTCAAAACTGCCTTATTGTCGAGATATGTTTGACAGCAAGGAATCCAGGGATTAATGTCAAAGCCGGCCTATTTCTTAAATCAATAAGTTTGAGATTTTAGGGTATGTACCTTTGGTTCCTTAGAGACTTTGAAACTAGAAGAAACTGTATTGTTTTATTCACCTACAAAGATTCCCCACAGACAAATTAATACTCTCATATTCCTTTATCTTTATTTTTTATTCCCCACAGATAAAGCAACAGATAACCTTCTGTGTAAAATTGTGTGTAAACTGGTCCATATGGCCTTGACCTCTGGAGACAAGGTCAAGGACAAGGTGTCACAGTGTCTAGGAGAGATTGGCCCCGTTTACATGGCAACTGTTGCACTGCCAGACGTGACAGAACTAGTGTGTTTACGGGAGGCTAAGGAGGTGTTTAGTGAGGATACATACCTACAGAACTATTGTGTGATATTCCACACTCTCAACACATACCTGGTGGACCAAGAGTAAGGACTGTTCCTTCATTTATATTCAAAATTAATGTCGTGTTAGATCATTAATTATTATAATCTACCCTTTTTTACTTTTACCATTGAGGCTAGTTATCATTTGCACGATTGAAAGTTAGAAATTACTCATTACTGTTCTAGTTATTTCTGGGTGAAATAAGACATTTAGTGTATAAAATGAAATTGAAATGACAAGAATTGGAGTTGTGATGATAAACAGCTCTTCCCTAACTAAGTAGACAGGCTTGATTCAAGCAACATATTTGCAAGTATTCAACTTAGCAATTAATGCACACACTGTTGTCAAAAGCTTGAAAATGATGATAATGACACTTACTACAACTTGGTAATGAAAGGTTGGTTATTTTTACAGAATTTATTTTGGTTAAATACGTAAGTATTGTATGAGAGATGAAGTTTGCTGATGATGCTATTACACGTAAGTTTATAGGACTTGATTGGTTATTAAAGTGAATACTCTATTTTTGTCTTGCCTCCACAAAGTGGAGGCGAGACTTAGGTGTTGCTTTTCCAGCGACGGCGGCAAAGACGTCAACATTAATTTTTTGCGTTTAAGTAAGTTTCTCTGAAAGTAGAAGTGCTAAACCAACCAAACTTGGACCGTAGATACATCTTAGGTAGTACATCTCAACCCATGCATCAAATGCTGGATGCGCCCTACCTTCCATGGTCAGTTAATTTCTCTAGGGCATTGGCCAGACATATTGATCTCAATGGCTTGTATTTGTTTGCAGTGTAGACATTGTAGAGGCCGCCTCACGTGTGCTCAAGTCCATGTTATGTACACAGACAGGAGTCGACTTCACCACAATCTATAAGGAAAAAGTGGGGGATAGGGACCACCTCATAGAATATCTACATCCATTCCGAGTCAAGAAAAAGGTAGGGATTATCTCAAAATGATTATCTTAGGGTAAGGAAAATGTATGAATGATCACATAAACATTTTGCATCGTTGCAGGTTCTAAGACAGGAAAAAGGCAGGACCATCTCAAAACACATACACTACCATACTCCTATTTTGGTTAAAAAAATCTAGGATTCATATCAAAATACTAGCACCATTACATGTTCAGATGAATGCTTATATCTGTTGATTATGGTTGAGAAAAGGTAAATGGCCATAGAACAACGGCCATAGAACATCTACATTCAATTTAGGTTTTAGATCGTTTAATCCTCGATACAAACAGAATCTGATGATTAGGAAATGGTAAGGGAACTCTTTCACACTAAAGGTTACTATTCTCATTCAAAGTTCAGCTAGGAAAGTCCATCTTAGAGGAAGAGGTCGTAACCTCTTCAGAAAAAGCAAAAATAAACAATGCTGGAGATTTAAAAAACTCTGCTAGTATTTGGAAAACCTCCAAGAATGACAAAAAAAATGGATAGACAAAATCCGGAGATGATTTACAAGGAAGCGTTTGTTTGACAGGTGACATCAGGTTCAAGGACCAAACACTCCGCTAATACAGACCAGTTCTGTGGACTTGTTGACAGGGAGGCACTCTGGCTGTCCACATCCAGTAACCATGGCAACTGGGTGCGGAGACTGACCGTTACACTTATACAGAGTGGTGCGGTCAAGGATGAGATTCTGGCCCTACTAGAACCAATCTGTGATAGGAAGGTATATATAGAGTCAATGATTATAAACAATCAGAGTTTGACAACCTTATATCAAAATGGCCATAGATATAACCAGTTAGGCTTATTTGTGTTTTGTTTACCCACATTTTTCGAAGTACACATTTTTCGAAGTAAACTTCTACAAAAATAATCTGACATTTCACAATCTAAAAGCAAAATTAGTATTAAATAATCGTTTGTTTTTGTTCATTATTGTATCTTTTAAAGAAAAATATGCAGAACATTTGGATTGGAGAAAATGCATTGGGCACTTTTGTTATTTGATAGAACACATTTGTCTCTTCAAAGAAATACTTATCAACGTGTGTTTCACCTGTGTTTTACCTGTGTTTTACCTGTGTTTTACCTGTACAGACAAATTTCTGCGAGATTGTGCTCCCACGGCTGATACACGATATTCTGGTACAAGGAGAAGACATCCACAAAGAGGTTCTGTCCCGACAGGTAGCCGCCTTCTTCTCCACCCACTGTGGTCACAGTACCCAGGAGGGTCGCAGCATCACACCTGTGGACAAGACAGGTAACACTCACTTCTTTTATGATCAGAACTTTATTTTCCTTTATATATTCAGTATAATGTATTTCTAAAGAAGTTAAAAAGAAAATGTTCAGATGTGAAAAAAGGAGAATTTATCAGATGGGGAAATAGTTATATTTCCTTAAGCATGTATTTAGACTGATAATTCTATTAATAAATTGTTAGATTCCACAACTGTATGCTTCAACAAAGACTCCATCAGGACCATGTTAAAGGTGGTACAACATCTCCGACAGCAGGAGAGGCCCAAGGAGGGGTAAGTGTTCTATAGGTTGAGAGGGCCAAAGAAAAGAATGCAAGATTGTCTTATTGTTCGGATGCTCCAACCTTAAAAGAATCAGGGATTTTTTTGAATAAATAAGCCTAGAAAAGGGGAAGAAAGTTGCCTAAGGCAGTATAATTGTACTTAAGCACACTTACATCTATTTTATTAAGTGCAATAAAAGAGGATTCCTTAAGACAGGTAATGCTTGACCACTTCATGCTACTAAAAGATGCACAACTAATGTTCAAATGTTCTGATCGACTGGCAAATTCAGAAACATTTAAGGAAAAGAGTGTGCGGGATATAAACCTTTGTATTCAGAAGTTTTGACATTTTCCAGGAGAAGACAAATGACAGCCTGGGATAACAACTTCTGGCTGGATTTGAACTACCTACACATGGCCAAGGCAGCCCTCTACTGCTCTGCCCACTTCACCACAGTTCTGTACTCTGAGATCTGGTGTGATTCTCACAGGTAACAACTTGTCTCTGCCCACTTCACCACAGTGCTGTACTCTGAGATCTGGCGTGATGCTCACAGGTAAGGACTTGTCTCTACCCACCTTACCACAGTTCTGTACTCTGAGATCTGGTGTGATGCTTACAGGTAAGAACTTGTCTCTACCCACCTCACCATAGTTCTGTACTCTGAGATTTCGTGTGATGCTCACAGGTAAGGACGTGTCTCTGCCCACTTCACCACAGTTCTGTACTCTGAGATCTGGTGTGATGCTCACAGGTAAGGACGTGTCTCTGCCCACTTCATCACAGTTCTGTACTCTGAGATCTGGTGTGATGCTCACAGGTAACAACTTGTCTCTGCCCACCTCACCACAGTTCTGTACTCTGAGATCTGGTGTGATGCTCACAGGTAAGGACGTGTCTCTGCCCACTTCACCACAGTTCTGTACTCTGAGATCTGGTGTGATGCTCAGAGGTAAGGACTTGTCTCTACCCACTTCACCACAGTTCTGTACTCTGAGATCTGGTGTGATTCTCACAGGTAAGGACGTGTCTCTACCCACCTCACCACAGTTCTGTACCCAGAGATCTGGTTTGATGCTGCCGGGTAGAAACTGGTCTCTGCTCATTTAAACCTGTACATTTTGGTCTCTGAATATTTTTTTGAAAACAAGTTTAGAAATGTTCCTCTATGTGTTATCAGTTTCAAAGCAATACAATCATGTTCTATCAAATGGTAATGGATATTTATATTCAAGAAAATGTTATGGTCTGATATTGTCAGCTGATGAAGAGTGTGGGTCCTGGATGTTTGTCTCAAGCCTAATATGCTTTATATATATATTAAACAAAACGTGCTTAAAAAGCTTTGTATCCTGCATTTCTGTTGTATTGATACAGACAGCAGAAAGAGGAGAGCAGAAGTTTGTCTGCAGGCAGTCATAGCTCCAGTCAGAGTCTTTCCCAGGACTTTACCCAGGACACACGGATAGACTCAGCTAGCTCTGCCTCTACGGAGGTCGGCATCAACGTACAGGACCTGCTGCTGGAGGCCTTTCAACAGATTGGGGATCCTGATGGTCTGTACGGCTGTGGAGCAGGGAGACTGGCAGACACCTCGTCAAGGTAAGTACAGCCAGGTGTTAACAAGGGTCAACAGAGCTAATTATACCTTAAAATGTATCTATTAATAAATTTTCACTTAATATTAAATACAATTAATGTTCTCTGTAGTGAAAAAAGACTAATGATAAAGAACTCCTACAACTTAATCATTTACTATATGTTATTACTAAGCTTTTGAGCTAATTTAAAGCATTAATATTTGAAGTTCAACACTAGCGACAACTGTCTAGATTCATAGATACATACTTGACAAAGTCTTCAAAAGACATTTTTTGCAGGTTTCATGGCATATACATATGTAAAAGTGCTACAGGTTTCTGCTTTTGACAACTGGAAGTTAACAAGCCAAATTTGTGAAGCAGATCAGGAACACCCCCTGACTTTTGACCCCATATAATAGTTGCGTGAGTCCTAAAACAATCATTGTTCACTATACTGATTAACAAGATTAACACATTATTTTTCTCTCATATCTTTTAGAGTGAAGACATACGAACATGAGAACCTATGGGACAAGGCTTTAGTAACTTACGACATCGACACGACCAGTCGTACAACTGACTCGAGTCTCGGGCTACTGCAGGTCAGAGGTGTTCTGGGACCCTCATCAAAAACAATTATCTTACAAGCTTTATTGAAGCACATTTCACCACATTTCATACGCTAAAATACATTGCTATTTTTCAAAAAAGGATATTTCAGAATACATTAACAAACGTTATATATCACAGGTCAACTATTACCTTGCGTCTTCTACGTCTATACGCAGGGCATTGATAAATTTGTATCCCAGTATTTCAAGGTCATGTCATGTGAGTTATTTGGTTTGTTGCTTGGTAGGGTGAAAGGCTACTAGTCAAAGTTTACTTTATAACTTCTAATATTTTTCAAAGGTAGTGAAACTGGCATTACAGTAAAACCGCGTTATACTGCAACCATTTGTCCAGATAAATTTTGTCGTAATAAAGGGGTTTGGCAATAAATTTAGGGGAATGTATAAAGGAATTCTTGAGAAAATGAGAAAAATGGACACTGAAATATGTTGGCGTTAAACAAGGTGGCAGATGAAATGAGGGGCATTATAACGAGGTTTTACTGTATTTAAAGCAGATTTTTATATCTTTGTAACTGTTTATTTTAGGCTCTACAAAACTTTGGTGCCCTGGAGGTGTTAAATAACTACTTCCATGGTATGTCACAAGGAGCAGACGTCGCCCCTAACATACAGGAGCTACAGTACCAGGCGGCCTGGAAGGCTGGGCAGTGGACACTGGATCCCACACTCAGGTACGTATGGTTAGCTAGGGAAGGACACCCAAGAATTTGGTCGTTGTTGATTTGCAATTTATTCATTAATTAAAAACTTTGCTGAATAAGCATAAAGAAATAAAGAATCACAGAAAATAAAACATTTATTAAGAATGATACTGTATTTCTACAACCATTGTTATGTAGGTCTAACCAGACAGGGTACCACCAGGCTGTGTACTCTGCCCTAAGTGCTGTCAAAGACGACCACCTCTCCCTGGCCTCTACTGCTGTCCAAACAGCCAGGTAAACCTATTACAGCCCTATAATAAAAACAGTTTAACAAAGGCCAAACATTTTGTTTTTGTTTGAACAGAGACTTGGTGTGGATCAACTATAAGTTATTGTAAAATGGTCTAATAGGTTATGTTTTCATATTAACTAATGTTGAGTATTTATTCAGGCATTACAAAACAAGGGGTAACATCTGTGTGGGTTCCTTTTACGGATTTAGATTTTTGATATGCAAATTGCAGAAATGAGAATTATTAATTTAATTTAAGACAATCAGGATTTATACCACTATATAAAATGTTGATGGCATGCAAATTTTTCAAGTTACAATAAATTTTCTTTAAAATTCTGTGTATTGTAGTACCTGTTATAGAAAACTTATCTATTTGAATCCATTGCCGTTATAGGATGTGTGTGATAGAGAGGCTGGGACAGGGAAGTATGGAGAGTGCCCGCTGTCTATATCCAATGTTAACAGACCTCAACTGTGTCGCACAGATACAGTCTGCCATCAACTGTAATCTCAGGTAAATCAACTGTCTCACAGACACAGTCTGCCATCAACTGTAATCTCAGGTAAATCAACTGTCTCACAGACACAGTCTGCCATCAACTGTAATCTCAGGTAAATCAACTGTCTCACAGTTACAAACTGCCGTCAACTGTAATTTCAGGTAAATCAACTGTCTCACAGTTACAAACTGCCGTCAATTGTAATCTCAGGTAAATCAACTGTGTCTCACAGTTACAAACTGCCATCAACTGTAATCTCAGGTAAATCAACTGTCTCACAGTTACAAACTGCCATCAACTGTAATCTCAGGTAAATCAACTGTCTCACAGTTACAAACTGCCATCAACTGTAATTTCGGGTAAATCAACTGTGTCTCACAGATACAGTCTGCCATCAACTGTAATCTCAGATAACTCAATCGTCTCACAGTTACAAACTGCCATCAACTGTAATCTCTGGTTAATATGTTTGTAAGATCTAGATTGTGATCTTATATACTTTTTGAAAACTTTTGTCTAATTAAATACTCACCAATTTATGGAAAAGTCCTATTGACCCTGTGTTAATTTTGCCTTTATATGGTGGAAATGTTATGTCCAGTATGTTGTGTACCAGTAGTTTTTGTCCTCTTTAATTAGAATGAAAGTAAAACTGATGAAATGTTGTTTTTGTTCGACACTTTCAATATTTTTCTAACAAAAATATTACTGCAATGCCTACCTAGTATCTGCTAAAGTTTGTTTTGATTCATTGCAAATAACAACCTTTCATTGTAAGGATTGTCTATCCTCAGGAACGATGCCGATTTGGGCAGTCTGCTGGAGCGATGGTCTAGTGAAGATGAGAGCTTCCTAAGTAGCAATGACTTTGAGTTTCTAGAACCAGTTTACAATATCCGCATCGCACTGCTCCAACTGGTCCTGAACAGGGGGAATAACTCTGCAGTGTCTAACTGTCTACAGAGACAGCTATTACAGTTGGCTAGGCTCAGCAGTGGGGAAGGCAGGCATCAGGTACAGAACAGTTTTGTTATATTGCCACCCATTGTCCAAGAAAATGTTGTCATTATAGTTTGGTTTTTAGCCCACCATCATCTGATGGTGGGCTATTCAAATCCCCCTGCGTCCGTGGTCCGTCGTCCGTCCGTTGTCTGTCGTCCGTCGTCCGTCCGTAAACAATTCTTGTTATCGGTATTTCTCAAGAAGTACCAGAGGGATCTTTCTCAAATTTTATATGCAGGTTCCCCTTGGTCCTTAGTTGTGCAGGGCAACTTTTGAGACTGATCGGATAAACAACATGGCCGACAGGCAGCCATCTTTGATTTTGATATTGAAAGTTTGTTATCGCTATTTCTTGGGAAGTATCAGAGGGATCTTTCTCAAATTTTATATGTAGGTTCCCCTTGGTCCTAAGCTGTGCAGGCCTAGGGCAACTTTGAGGCTGATCGGATAAACAACATGGCCGACAGGTAGCCATCTTGGATTTTGATATTGAAAGTTTGTTATCGCTATTTCTC